CTCCGGACGCGCAGGCTCAGCGGCCATGGCTCACGGGCCCAGCCGCTCCGCGGCACGTGGGATCTTCCCGGACCGGGGCACGAACCCGCGTCCCCTGCATCGGCAGGCGGACTCTCAACCACTGCGCCACCAGGGAAGGTGTAAGTTGGTGGATTCTGTACCGAAATCTCACTTGTGGTGCAGTTCATACTCACTCAGTAAATCCGGTCCCCCAGTTAGTAAGAAGCGTAAGTTTGTACATATTTGGTTAATCCCAGGAAGTAGAAATAGATTCAGTACCTACTATCATTCTAGATCTCTTCTTTCTGGCTATGGTTATAAGGTTTGGCCTGGCGTAGTGATTCAGAAACATTCACCTCACGCATTCTGGGTGTATTTTGGTTTATGTTGGAATAAAAAACATAAAAAAGTTGTTTTGGGGTGAAGAATGATTAATATTACGAGAATATTATCCTTCATTTAAGATATGTAACAGAAAGATAAATTAAGATCTGATTGTTTATATGACAGAGCTTCGGAGCTTTTTCCATTAACAAATATTTTACCGGACGTGACGTGTGACATTCTTTTTAGAATCATACACATTTCATAGAGTGAGTTTTACCACTATAGTTTCAACTGGTATTACTCTTACTACAGTTATAATCAGACTACTGTTCTTCTGAAGACTGAGTCTGAAAGTCCCTCAGAAGATAGAAACCTACCATAGGTTTTCAGTCCTTTCTTGGCTCGTAAATTGTCAATGAAAAGTTAGCTGAGTTTACCTCAAGAAACTGAAGCAAACGGAGCTGTGACTGAGCTGCTTTTCTTCTGTAGGTGCGACAGCGAGCCCAGCTCATACTGCCCGTACTTCTCCCTGGGAGCGTGCATGGAAGGCCTGAGCACCTTGTTTAACAGGCTGTTAGGGATCTCGCTGTGTGTGGAGCAGCCTGCAGAGGGAGAGGTGTGGTGTGAGGATGTTCGGAAGCTGGTAAGCGGCCCGGTTGGACTGAAGACGACAAGTGTTCCTTGTCTCCCGGGTTTGGTACTGAATTAACAGCGGTTTCATCTCAACTTAGCTTTGCCCCGATGGCGTTTGTCTTTGCTCGATGAAAGATCCAAATCGCCACTTCTGATGTTGGATGCTACGAAAGAAACACTTTTCTCTAAACATCAGTTGTTGCCTGAAATTAATGTAAACATTTAACAGCAGAGTTATTTCTCTGGAAAAAAATTTGTTTTTAAGGAAGTTGATAGAAGGTTGAGTCTTTTATGTCGACAAACCCTGGTTAAACGAGCGTTTGTCATTGCCCTTCACGTCCCCGCTGTGCCAGGTGTCGCATCTGTTAATTCCAGCTCCCTTAGGCACCTCCCACCCCTTCCCGCCCGCCCGTGGGCTCACGTTCGCGCCAGATGCTAGCCTGCGGCCTGTGATCTTGGTGAGACTCCTTGGACAGTCACTCCGAGCCTGGGATCCACCCTTCTGTCAGGGTCCGCTTCATGTGAGCTGCGACTATCGTTGTTTTTTCCTGATAAGATTTTGAGGCTTTATGGGCCCTGAGGTGGTGGTGTTCTCTTGTTTTACTCTTGGCTCACGTGCTTAGCGCACGGTTCACGAGAAACATGAACTGTCTTGTGGCCTCTTGGCTGCGCTTCGTGATCGTAGACCAGGTGGTGGTGGAGTCGGGAGGTCAGCGGGGAGCGTGGTTGTCACTGGGCATCCTTCTGTGCGCTTCACAAAATGACAGCGGGGGGTAATGTGCAGACGCACCGTGAAAAGAGTGAAAGGGCATGATGTGGGCGATGAAGAGCTTCCCCAGCTCAGGAGGGAGCCCCTTGTGGCTTTGCTCATGGCCGTTCCCCAGATGCCTTGAGTAGTCCCTGACACCAGGTAGATGCTTGGTAGACGCTTGCTGGAGTAATGAACATATGCTTGCAGGAAGCCCTAAAGCATAAGGTTGCTGTTCTTTATGGCAGAGACCCCAGGTTGTGCAAAGATGGAGACCATCTCTCCTGCGAGCTGGGCCTCTTGGAAGCCTGATTTGGGAGAAGCATGTCAGTGGTGGTATTTACTTACTGCTCTTCAGCTGAAGGCAGACACTGCGTATTGTTCCCGTATCCCAGGGTTATAGTTGGCGTGCTCACGTATCCTTACATCCTAAGATTGGAGGAGCTATAATTTTGTTGCTAAAATGGTCCAGTCGGCACCGCTTCCCACCTCTTGTGGGTGGTGTGGGCCCAGTGGCAGAGCCGCATCGCTGGGGACTGCCAGTCAGGATGCAGGGCTTGCGGGGGAGGGTGTCCTCTTCCGACAGAACTCCCAAATCATAGCTGTCCTGGAGATGCAGGAGAAGAGGTTGAGGGCAAAGTGGAAGCCACCTCGAGGTCACATGGGACGTAGGAAGTAATGAAACGTCTGTATTTGTGGCTCTGGGTGTTTTGTGAACAAGTTCTTGCGCCAGGAATGTGTTTCTTCTTCTAGAGTTTCTAAAGGCCTCATTCCCCACTAAATCCATTTTTTTTTCCCCCTAGGCCGTGGTTCATGAATCTGAAGGACTGTTGGGGTACATTTACTGTGATTTTTTTCAGCGAGCAGACAAACCTCACCAGGTGATGCTTTGTTTACAAAACGGTCTCTCTAAAGTAATCAGCAGTTAATTTGTATCGATGTGAACTTTTTTTTTTTTTTTTTTTTTTTTTGGGGAACGCTTCTTGTTTAAAGCTAAACCCTTTTCTTCATGTCTGCTTCTCTCTCTTCTTTGAAGAAACCCCATCTGTGGTCATTTTTTACCTGAATTTTTTTTTTTTTTTTGCGGAACGCGGGCCTCTCACTGCTGTGGCCTCTCCCGTTGCGGAGCACAGGCTCCGGACGTGCAGGCTCAGCGGCCATGGCTCACGGGCCCAGCCGCTCCGCGGCGTGTGGGATCTTCCCGGACCGGGGCACGAACCCGTGTCCCCTGCATCGGCAGGTGGACTCTCAACCACTGCGCCACCAGGGAAGCCCTTGATGTGAACTTTATACCTCACTTTTGTAGTTCCTAATATTTAAAAGGCATCACTGGGGACTTCCCTGGCGGTCCAGTGGTTAAGACTTCGCCTTCCAATGCAGGGGTTGCGAGTTCGATCCCTGTTTGGGGAGCTAAGATCCCACATGCCTTGTGGCCAAAAAACCAAAACATAAAACAGAAGCACTATTGTTAACAAATTCCGTAAAGACTTTAAAAATGGTCCACATCAAAAACATCTTTAAAAAAAAAAAAGGCATTACTGATGGTGGCTAAATATATAAATTTGAAATTAGGGTAGAATTTAAAGCTAATAAAACTTATGAAGGTAATTACATAGATCTGTATCTGTCATTTTTATCTGGGTCATGGTAACGATAGTAATAATGATAGCTGACATTTTACCAGCCCTTCTGTGGGCCCACCAGTGCTCTGGGTCCTTTTTCATGTCACATCTTTGAAAGTTCACGTCAGCCTTTTGAACTGGACACTGACATTATGAGGAAGCTGATGTCAGAGAGGTAAGGTTACTACTTGCCCAGAGTCACACAGTTAGAAGCACTAGGATTTGAACCCAAACTTCCTGACTAGAGCCCCAGCTCTCAGCCACTTTCCATACTTGACATGGACCTAGTTTCAAATGGCACAAGATGTGTCCCTGTGGAGACCCTATCAACCACCAGTTCACTCCTTATGCAGAAAAGTGAGGTTCAGTTCCTCAAGCTGCAAACCAGGTTTCCTGGTCGATCAGCTTCAAGCAGTTTTGGGCAGTTTGATTGGAATTGTCAAGAATTCGGGTTATTAAGTTCCAACAGAAATAATGGTACCTTATATTTAAATAGTGATTTCACAGTTTCCAAAGCAATTTTAGCAGACATGAGCTTATGAATCTGGGCAGCTGCTCTGGCGTTTGACAGGGTGGAGGTGAGTCTGGTGGAGGTGAACCAGTTTCCAAGGTGGTTTGGCTGGTAGATCTGGACAGTGGGACCAGGGTCTGGGTCGTTGACCTCTGCATCCTCTGTTCCTTCTCTCTGCTTGAAAGGCTGGAGAATCTGGGTTAGTGATCTGAGGCCCGGCTCCTAGTTGCCAGCCTGGGTGGTTCAGATTTGAGATGCCGCAGCCCTAGCTGTGTGCCCTTGGACACGTGACTTAGTGTTTCCAAGGCTCAGTTTGTTTTCTCATCTGAAAAATGAAATACTTGCCTCATAGACTCATTGTGAAGAGTAAGTGATGAAGTGTATGCGAACCGAGAAAGATACTCCAGGTTCCTTGCTTTGTGACAGTTGAGAGCTCGTCACCTCCAAGTGATGGAGATGGTGGTGTGGAAAGTGTCTCCTGGTTCATCGCCTGACACAGAAGGGGCTCCATTAACATCAGTGCCCCCTGCGGTCCACGGCTGTCCCTTCCTGCCTGCCGTGAGCACCTTGAGGGCGTAGGGCTGAGCTCAGTGGTGACTCTGTCTCCGGTATCTGGTATAGCATCACTCAACACATACTTTTGGAGTGAAGGAATGAGTTCATCAGCACAAGCTCAATGTATTATTGGTGTTTTAAAAACATTAATATGTTAGCAAAATAAAAAGCATTGGGATAAAAGTGTCTGCAACTAAATTAATAGAAGAATGGAATTAAGGTAAAGTTTGTACTCATACATTTTGATACAGCTTTATATTACCCTTCAGCTGACCTCAGCCTCTCTTCACTTGTCGTGTTTTCTTAAAGGACTGCCATTTCACCATCCGTGGGGGCCGATTAAAGGAAGACGGGGCCTATCAGCTCCCAGTTGTCGTTCTGATGCTGAACCTTCCCCATTCCTCAAAGACTTTGCCAACATTATTAACTCCTGGGATGATGGAAAATCTTTTCCATGAAATGGGACATGCCATGCATTCAATGCTGGGACGGACTCGTTATCAGCACGTCACTGGTGAGCCAAGAAGAGGGGACTTTAAACGTGTACATTTCATCTTAAATTGGAAAAAGCTTTTCATTTAGAAAATCTGTGGTCATTTATCGCAGATGGCGTCATCTTGTCCTTCCAACTGTGATGCTACCCGATCTTAGTTACATTTTTTTTCCATCCTTGACAACAGTTCTCACCAAGGAATGTCTCAGTTGCCTATCTTTTCAGTTTGTACCATTTTACATTTTGTCCTATATTATGTGGAATTTCAGTCTGTGGCCGTGTGTATGAATAAGCGTATCTCCTTAGCCAGGAGCACAGACTTAGCAAGTGAATAAGTGAATGAACTGTTGCCTCTTTTTACCCAAAACCAGTTAGAAAACCTCAAGGCATGTTGAAAAGGTATGACCAGGTGCTTTGTATTTCTCCTCTGCTTTCCCCTGCGTAAAGCTGTGGTCCCCCTGCTGACGGGTTGCTGTGTCCGGTGACGCCCCAGGCTTCCCTCCTGCTTATCCTCTCTGAGTCTTAAGCTTGCGATCAGACAGGGTCAGTCTGCCTTAGACCACCTGGGCAACTGTTGGTCTTCAGTATTTAGTAACTAACTTTACACACAGTATTTTGGGGGAGGAGGGAGGTATTTGAAAAGACTGCGGTAGATGGGCCGGACAGAATCATAAAGTGTCACCAAGTCTTGCTTACAGGATTTGTTCTTTAAATAATTTTGAGTTTGAAATGTTGCTTTTCTGTATTGAGGATTGACCTTGTTACCAGAAGCAATCAGTAGATAAAGTACTTTTAAAACAAATGAAGGATACGGGCACTTGGTGATGGAATTCATGAATTAAGTTCAATTGCTGTGTTAATTAAGCAAGAATGTTGTAATTTGTGTTTCAGGTATAGCCCAGCATAGCTGAAGACAGTTTTGTTTGTAGAGGGTGTGAGCCGTTGCTTTACAAGGTGTTCTATCCAGCGGTGCAAATATTTTGTTTTACTTCTGATACGTGGGAAAATAAGAGATTACTACAAACTTTTCTGTAAATATGTGCAATAATTTTATAGAAGTAAAATATTGACTTAATGAATTAAAGATTATCATAGTTCATCAGAAGTACAAATAAAAAATTTTAAGAGTGTTTGTAGTAGGATGAACGTGTTGATGTGATTCATGCCAACTTTTTTCTTTCTCCCCCATTTTAGGGACCAGGTGCCCCACTGACTTTGCCGAGGTCCCTTCTATTCTGATGGAGTACTTTGCAAATGATTACCGAGTGGTTCACCAGTTTGCCCGACATTATCAGACGGGGCAGGTAGGGAGCGTTGACTTTCTGTACGGTCCTCTGGGGCGTGGGGGTGGCTTTTGTGACCTGCGGGGTAGCGGTAACTCTTACTGCTTTTTCAGAACCTTCTCCGAACCAGAATCCTGCCGTTTCCTGATTCCCTTTCTTCAGCTGTAGCTACAGTCATGTGTGGGCAACAAGTAGCTGCCCTTTATTGTATGCCCAGTAACGTCCCGTCTAGTCCTCAGAGCCGCCCCCTGAGGAAGGCGCTGTGTCCTGTTTCCAGAGGGGGAAACAAGCCTCAAAGCCTGTCTCACCTCAGAAAAGCCTTTGCTCTTTCCTCTACCCTTTATGCTTCTGAATATTCTCTCGGTCTGAATGTGTGTGTTGTTTGGTAAACTATGATGCCATGTTTCCCCGATGTGTTTAGGTAGCATCTACGTGATGCCAAGTCTGAAAATTCCTTAATTTTGAGGTTTAGGTTTAAATAGTGCCTTGTAACGTTAAAGGTTTTTAAGTTCTGTAAAGTAGGATTAAGTGAGCGATACTTTACGGTAAGTTAGCTCTAATCTAACTGTCAACATTGTATGTTTACTGTCTGCGTGTCCCATGGAAAATGTATTCTTCTCTCAGAATTTTGGTGATACACTGTTACATTAGGTAGTGTTTTTCCGCCTTAAACTGTACCTCCCTGAGTGCCTGTGTACAATTATATTCATCTTTGAATCTTCAGCATTTAGAATTGTGCCTAACACAAAAAAAGCACTAAAAGAAATTAAAGGAAGGACTGAATGGAATCAGAAAAAGAAGGGCCAAACCCCACCTTTATTTGTGACTCTCTTTCCGGTTGTATCTCTGGATGCGTAATGTGAATTGGCGATTTCTATTTTTTGGACTTGATTTTAACCACTACTGTCAACTGTAGAATAATGGATGAGTTCCTGGAGAACTAATCTGAGTTAGTCTCCATCATAATCTGTTTCTGTGGTTAAGAGGACAGAATTGAAATATCTGTGATCCAGTCAGCTCCCTGCCCATCAATGTGCAGAGCTGCTCTGGGGATTATGTCACCTTAGCCAGCGACGTAGAAGCACGTAGCCCATCAGGCAGTGGCCTAGTTCTCCCAGCTCCACGCTTCGGGGTCTGGGAAGGAGGATGGCCTGACGCGGCTGCTGCTCCCGTAACCGCCCCGTTCCCGTCCTCGGGGGCATGGACGTGTTCGGGCACAGGGCGCAGGCTCGTGGGGAGCTGGCCCTCTGCTGGGGCCTCGGGACGGGCTTCACCAGGAGCTCCTGGAGGAACCAGGTCGTGAAAAAGTACGTCGGGTGGCAACTTGCCGGTGCGCTCGCAGCAGGCCTCATCCGTCTCATTACAGGACGTTTACTGAGGACACACTGAGGCCATAGGTGAGTCCTTCCGTCAGGAAATGGGCTCCATTCTCAGCACCTGAGAAGCAGCCGGGAGTAAGTGTGACAGCATCCCTGCACTCGTGGCCTGGCGTCTCGGGGTGCAGAGCAGGGCTGAGGGCAAGGTGACTTTAGCCGAGGGATAGTCCCCAGGGCTCAGAGATCCCGAGACAGGCAGGACAGCGCGTGTGGCAGGGTCAGCGAGGGGGGGGGTAGGGGGACGGACAGGGACGAACGCGGGAATGTCCTCATGTTCAGAACCTGCACCCCATCTGTCTCTGCCCCCGCCTTCCCACACCCCGGGAGTCCCGGCCCCTCTGCTCGCCCACCTGGTGACAAGGGAGATTCTCCTGTGTCCTGGGCTTCCCCTCGGGGCCGAGTCCCTTCTGTGACTCTGCCCCAGCCCCCCTTCTCATTAACCTCCAGCCAGCAGCCTCCCTGGAGTCCACCTTTGGACCCAAGGGCTCGTCCGTCCTTTGCTGCGGTCAGCGGTGACGAGGGCCAGAGCCAAGGTGCTGGCAGCAGGGCCGGGAGGGGAGCAGCCGTCGGAGGCTTGGCGGGAAGGGCCTGCGGCTGGTCAGATGGCGGGGAGGGTCTGAGAGCAGGGAGGCCAGGAGGAGTGCCACGTCTGAGGAAGGAGGATGGGTCTCGCCTTGGATGTCCGCTGCACAGCGTTGCTGCCCACGCGGCCGCTCGCGGCGCTAGCCTGAAACCCAGAGTCAAGTGGACACGCGGGCGTGTGGGGCCGAGTGGTGGGGAGGTTAGAAGCGGCCCGTGAGAGGAGCTGCCTGGGGGCTCCGGTTCCCGAGGACGCGCGGAGCGGGGCGCCTGCGGAACGGTGGCGAGACCCTGTCGGCGTCAGACCTAAGTGCTGGGCTGAAATGCACCACGACACTGAGGTCAGTTTAAAAATATTGTTGTCTGTTTCCAGAGCAATGAGAAAAGCCAGGAAGGGCTAGAACCACTGCTTGAAGGGTGGTGTAATGTCCCCAGAAAAAGACAATTCCTGTTTTACGACTGAATTCTTCAGTTAGAAGAACCATTTTTGAACAAGATCATTTCAAGAAAAGAATATTAAGTCCAAAACTGCACTTCAGACGAGATGAGATCGGCAGCGAGCAGCAAGCTGCTGTGGATTAGTTCCCATTTCGGACTCAGAAGGCACGTCCAGTGGGCCGAAGGGATTGCAGACACAGCCTCCAAAGCAGGAACCAGTGCTCGGTGGGACCTGTGGAGTCTGGAGAGGGCGCCAGAGGCACGGGGCACCTCGAGCCTCGCAGAGGACTCACTGGCCTCTTCTTGTCGGTGATTAAACACCAACTGGCTGGATGCTTTCACTTTAAGGGCAGTCCTAGCCTAAGGGCAGGAGCTAATTCCCTCAAATCTAACTCTCTGTAAAGAAATAACGTTAAAGAGGAACAGCAGGGTGCGTCTTTCTGCTTCATTTTGTCCTGCTGCACATCAGGGAAGGAATTTCTCCCCGTCACGTGGTCTATTCCAGAGAGCTGTCCGCCTTATTGGTGACTTATTAACACCTAGAAGTATTTTATCTGAACCTGAGCATCCCAGAGCCACTGGATGCCTTGTGGTCACAGAATTAGGAGTTTGCCTCTCAGATCTGCAGGTGCCATACAGCTGTCAGGAAACAAATACCAGAGGTGCTCATTCGAGGTTCAAACTGTCCTGACAAAGCTACAGCATCAGAGCTGAAGCAGAATTAGTTGTAAATCAATCCTAAACTCAGTAGCACAAGTGTAGCAGAAATACAGACTTGGTAGCAGCTCCCGTGGAAACATCCAGGTTTTTAGACGTGATGAACTTGATGTGACTCAGCGGTCTCGGGGAGTTCCTCCCAAACCTCGGTCGACCTTAGGCTGCGTCACAGGACCTGTGAGATCTGAGGAATGGGGGTGTTGTCTTTCTTCTCCATGCTCGTTGGTTCTGGCCTTCAGCCTAACCCTTCCAGTTGCTTCCAGCGGTTCCACACTTCTGGAAGCACAGGCTTTGTCCTCCTCTGAACATTTTCACACGCAGCTCCTTTTCTAGTCGTGGTAAAATACATATTACGTACAGCGTGCCAGCCTAACCGTGTTTCAGTGACTGTTCAGGGGTGTTAAGTGCATTGTCGTTGCTCTGCTTCCCTCACCACCGCCATCCCCAGAACGCTATTCATCCTGCACACCTGGCCCTCTGTCCCCCTTAGACACGAGAGCCTCATTTCCCCTCCCCCAGCCCGTTAGCCAGCACTCTGCTCTGTTTCCATGAATTTCACTGTTCTAGAGACCTCATATAAGTGGAATGATACAGTATTTATGCTTTTGTGGCTGGTTTGTTTCATTTAGCATAATGTTTTTAAGGTTCATCCAGGTGTAGCCTATGTCAGAATTTCTTTCTAAGGCTGAGTGATTTTCTGTGTGTGGATGGACCACATTTTGTTCAGCCTTTCATCCATTGATGGACACTTGGGTCGCTTCCACCTTTCAGCTACCGTTGTTACCAGACTCGGGTTTGGCTCCTCACTGCTCAAAAAGCCAATACTTAAGAGACAGGTGCTGGTAGGAGCAGAAAGTTTGCTTTATTCAAGAGGCCGGCGACCTGGGGAGAAGGTGGACTCGTGTCCCAGAACCAGTTCTGAAGATTCCGCTCAACCAGGAAGGTTTTTCAAGGGAAAAGGGAAGTGATCTCAGTGGATCGTCGAGGCCAGAGTTGTCGCTGCCCCTGCTGCGCGCAGCCTTGCGCACTCCTCGTGGTCTCTCCTCAGGTGCTGTCTTGTTCACACAGTCTGCTCACGAGACTCCTGCGCTGGGGGCTACAGACTGTTATGAGAAACAGTGTTGGTCCCGTTCTCTTGAGGCCAGGGCTTAGAATCGTGCTAGCCCGAGATTCAGTACTGCTCAGGAAGGAGCAGCTTGCGTCACGGCTGCAGTCTGGTCATCACGCAGCATAAACTCCTGTGCGGTTGAAAGGGGCCTGACGAGTGACAAAGACGCTTCTCTCACCCCTCCCCTCAGGAAGTTCCAGGGGTTTAGAAGCCCTGTGCCAGGAACCAGGGATGAAGACCACATGTGTATTTCTTTCTGGATCCCAGGAAGAAATATACGCCGTCTCCCCTCGCAGGGTCTGCCTCGTCCGTCCCCTTTGTCCTCAGTCCTCAGTTTCCAGCCCTGTCTCCTCCTGCCTTGTCCCCCCTCCTCGCCAGCACGCCTCTGCCCTCAGCGCACCGCATGCGGCAGGGCTGCCAAGCCCAGGGCGTTGCAGGCTACGGGGACTCTTGTTTCTTGTGGGATGACAGTGACATCGGTGATCCAGAAAGCACCCTGAGAAGAGGCTGCCACATCATGTAAAGTTGGGAGCCCCTTCCTCTTAGGAATGTTGTAAGAATATGCTTTTAGACCAGAAAAAGGAGCTGCAGTCTGTCCTCCTATTTGAAGGATACCATGCAGAGGAAGAAAATGTGTCTGCTGTGTCATCATTCCAGAAAACAGCATTACCGGGAACAGTGGCTGGGAATCAAATAAAGCTGATTTCAGCTCAGTAGATTATTCTCAAACATGATTGGAAAGGAGATGCCTCTGAAAGTAGTATGTTTTTATTTAATGCTTAATGTTGCAAAATCATATTGTA